TTTTCATTCTAGTCTAACTTGCAATTATAGAATTTTGGTTTAAATCTGATTTAAATCATAAATTTTTGCAGATTAGACCAGACTACAAGACTAAATACAGATTACTAAATTAGAGTTTGTGCCAATCATATTTAATAACAAATCAGTTTATAATCTAAATAATATTAATACTTTTATTATTTGTGAAAAACTTATTAATCAATATTAGTATTGTATTAATTTATTATATTTACAACAGATGACTTAATAAAATAATTTATTGTTTTCTAAATTTAATAAAATTGATTAGTTTTCAATATATTTTTATAATAAAACTATAGAAAAATAAAAAAAAGTATAAAATAAAAAAAGTGATTTTAGTAAAAATAAAAAAAATAAAAGTTATATTTTATATAAATTACTTGAATATGTTAAATATTATTTTGAATTATAATAAAGAAATAGGTCATCTTTATAATAATATAATACTAATTATTTCTAACTGATCAAGTTAGCATTATATTTATTAAGCATTTATTTATTTTTATAAAAAACATAAAAATAAAACTTCAATACCAAAAGAAATAGTATTATTTGTTTTTTATTTAAATTTTTTTTTAAATATTAAGGTAATACTTGTGATCTAGAATTTTATTAATAGTATATTTGGCTAATAGTTGCATTACAACTACAGAAGGCAACTATAAAAAGAGTGTACAATTAGCTATTTGTACAACTTTAGTCATTGTTTAATTTAAGTAGTTTATCCAAAGGTTCTATACTAGCTACTATACCTGAAACCTGCTTGTAGGTTTCTTATTTAACTACTCTAGTTTTTATATTCATCTATCTACTTCTGTTTACTAACAATCCTAGCCAATACTAATGAAAATATGCCATAGCTACTAAGTTTTTAAAGCAGTTCTTTGGAATCTTTAAACTTGTACTAAACCTTTCAGAATTTTCTATATTCTATTCTTATAGCTGATCTGATATCACTATAGTCAAGACTAATACTAGCAGTCAGGATATATTATTAAACTGTTATGTCTTTGTAGAGTTCACTCCAATTCTAATACTGACTTTACAACATATTTCTACTATTTTAGTATTTAATTCAAATTCTACTAAGCTGCTATTCCAAATAGCTCAGAAAGGTAAACTATAACTATATCTCTGGTTTACATATTCTTTATCATATACTCTTTTTTTCTGAAATTTAGAAATTCTGACAGCTTAATTGGTTTATCTGGTTTCTTCTCAAAAACTAGCATATTTGCTTAGTTTCACAAGTTCTAGCTTTATTTTATAAGTTTAGTCATTATAGTAATACTATCAAAAGTTCAAATTACCTCTTCATTTAGGTCTTTCAAGTAGGCTTTCATCTTTTTTTATTTGGTTTTTATAATTTACATAGCTATAAGAACTTATTGTAGATTTGTACTACCTAGTACCAGTTTGCATTCCTTTATATAACTACAAATTTGTTCCAAATAACAATGTCACATGACTGTTATACAAATGCCATGTGACCTGCCAGTTATGCTAATATGATACAGGTAACAGATATCTTATCTCAACCAATTGTAAGAAACAGTTAACTGTAACATAGAAAGAATTTTCAAATTTTCTGTTAACATTAGGATTTGAAATTTGAATCTGCTACTTGAAGATTAACAATCTAACTACTTTACTTTATTTGAATTTTTGTATATCATTTTTAATACAAAAAAATATGTATTAAAAATATATTATCTATTTTTTAAAAAGTTCTTTTATTATATATTCAGAAAATAAAAAATTTTAATTAAAAAATTTAAATTATAAAAAACAAACCTTTTGTTTAAGTTAGCTCTTATAAATATAAATTAAAATTAAAGAATATATTATATAAAAAAATTTTCTTTTTCTAAAAAAATATTAAATATCATATTATTATAAAACTTTTAGATAGAATTATACTAGCTTCTTTTAATATATATGCTTTATTATTCTAATTCAAGTTACTTGATAATTATATAAAGACAATCTTTTATATATGAATCTTCACCTTGCAATAGCATTACAAAAACTATAATAAAGCTTTATTGATGTTTTTATTTGATTTATTCTATTAAACAAAATCAACAATTTAATAAAAAAAATAATTAAAAATATTTAATTCAGTTTAATAACTACTGGATAAAAAATATATACAATAGAATATAAACTATAAAATTATTAAAAAATACTACTAATAATATACAAAAACAAGTATATTTTCTAAATTTTGAAATATATAACTAATAAACCTTTTATTTTTATTTTTTTATTTTTAAGAAATTTACAAAAAAATAAAAAAAACCTTCTTAATTAACTATAAAATTTTATTTTTATAGAAACAACAAAAAAAACTATCTATCATATATAATCTTTTTCTTTATTCAGTAATTATAATTACTGTTATAATGTATTAACTATAAATAATCAACTAATTACTTTAATATATAATTACAGATTTTATTTAGCATAATACAACAAAATAGAAAAAAATATTAATATTGTTTAAATTACTTTTTTTTTTAATATTAAGATAAGTACTTGTGACCCAGGATTTTATTTATAATATATTTGGCTAATGATTGCATTATAACTACAAAGAACAATCATGAAAAAAGTGTATAACTAGCCATTTATATAACTTTAGTCATTATCTAATTTAAATAGTTCATTGAAGTTTTTATACTAGCTGTTATATCTGAAATCTGTCTAAGTTTTCTATTTAACTACTCTAGTTTCTGTATCCATTTACCTACCTTTACCTACCAATAACTCTGACTAATAGCAGTGAAAATATGTTATAATTACTAAGTCTTTAAAGTAGTTAAATCATATATGAGAAGTGTTAATAGAAACCAAGCAATTCATTTGTAATATATTTTTTTAAAATTTTAAATTAAAATATCTTAACAACTATAAAACCAAACTTAGTAAATTTTTTTTTATTTTGATTCTATAACTATATAAAATTAAAATAAAAAAAAATTTATCAAGTTTGATTTAATAATTGTTAAAATATTTTGCTTTAAAGTTTTAAAAAAATTTATTTAAAAACAAATTGCTTGGTTCTACTGACATCTCCTCATATAATGAATCTTTGGTCTTGTACTAAACCTTTTAAAATCTTTTATATTCTATTTTTACAGCTAACTTGGTACTAATATGAGTGAGTTCAATATTGACAGTCAAGATATATCATTAAATTACTATGGCTTTGTAAAGTTTATCACAACCTCAGTACTGACTTTATAACATATCTCTAATAGTTTAGTATTTAATTTAAGTTTTATCAAACTCCTAAACTAGAAGCCTGAAAAAACAGGTCATAACTATATATCTCTGATTTATATGTTTTTTGATATGTAATCTTTTTCTCTAGAACAGATTCTGGCAGTCTGATTAATTTCATTCAACCTTTTCTTAAAAACTGATTTTTTGTCTAGTTTCACAAATTCTAATTTCATTTTTCATAAGTCTAATTTTATAATAACATTATCAAAGATTCAGGTTATTTTTCTATTTAGGTCTTCCAAGTGAACTTCTGTTTCCTACCTGATTTCTGTGATTTATATAACCTAAGAACTTATTTTGAGTTCACATTGGCTAGTATTAGTTTGTATTCTTTTATATAACATTGTATAAATATCTAGATCTTTCTGTCATACTAATATAATATAAGTTATAAGTATTTTATTCTAACTAATTACAAAAAACAGTTAACCATAATACAAAAAGAATTGCAAATTTTCATTGTTACTGAGATTTGAACTCTAGACCTGCCACTTGAGAATTAACAACTTATCCACTTCACTAGGTCACCACACCTCTTATTGTTTAAATTACTATAAAAACAGAATATAAAAAAATGTTAATACATTTTTAGCTAACTTAAATTCAAAAAAAAATAAAGATAATAATTTAGATAATAAAAAAAAAAAAGATCCTGAAGAAGATTCAGAAGAGATGAAAATCAATTAACTAGATGAACAAAAAATCCTGAAACTAGATTTGCTTAATAGAATTAGTAAAATTGATAATTGATAAATAAAAAAAATTATCACAATTAGTTTTACTCATGCAAATTTACTCTAAATTCAAAAAAAAAAGATTCAGTAAGTTCGAGAATTATGTTAATGATCGTAATAAAATTATGCTGGCAATGAGTATTTGATTGAGACTTGATGCTTCTTAGGTTAAACTAATAGTTTTTCTAATAAGTATAAAGTGAAAAGTCTAATATACATTTGGCTTCAGCTTCGAATAATATTAGTAGAATTTAGTTGAACCTAAAAAGTTCATTTTTTAAAAAAACCATGGTATAATAAAACTTCTTATTGAACCTGATTATACCAGATTAAATTTGAAGCTAGGTAGACAAGCGAACTGCCAACATGGTTGTAAAGGTTCGTAGGTGTTAATATGTAATGTAACCCAGTTTGCATATGAACGCGAAATTGGATTTAAGCACTATGAAAAAAATTTTTGCGAGTTTTTGTTTAGAAGTAGAAATGTGTATTCCTCTTTTGTCGATCAGCGAAGTATAAACTATATAAAATTTAAAGGAGATAAAATTAAAATAGATAGTGGCTTAGCTAAGTTCAAACTATGTAAATATGGCTTGATAGGCTAGTCTAACGTAACCTTCTTGCTTGAAAAATTTCAAATACGGCAGGTCGCACCTGGGCACTCTTGAAACAGTCAGGTGATAACCTTACAATCAAAAACATACCGATACAAGTATAATCTAATATGCTCTAAACTTAATGAAAGTATTGGCGAGACTGTCTAAAAAAAAACACTATTAATTAAAAAAAATCCTTGTATGAAGTGTAAATTTTATTTTTTATATGCTTAAGAAAAAACAATTGGAATTTATTGTAAAAACATGTAGGTATAACTAAAATATTTTTTCAGCTTTGTATTTTTTAATAAATAATATTCAAAGCATTCAAATTTTTACATCACTCAAACATTCAAAATTATTATAATAATCTATCAATTACTACTTGTAATTCTTCTTCACTATAAATTCTAAACCCATATTCTGGCGTGATAGAAGCAAGTTGAACATTTGTATTGTTCAATTTTTCTTCCATGACTTGTTTGAGAACTTTAAGAGATAGTGTTTCGGCATTCACCAAACTTATAGACTATATTAAAAATGCAGACTTTTATTAGTCAATGTACACTAAATTTCAGTGTTGTCACTGGAAGACCACTGGAAGTAAAATCAATAGTGTCACTGGAACTTTAACTTCCAGTGACACTATTTATTTTACTTCCAGTGACAACACTGGTCACTAAATGATAACATATAATGATATCAAGAGTATAGTTAACTTTATCGTATTCTTCTTGCAATTCTGTCTGAGCGCCTTCAGATCCGGAACCAATAGCTTTAGCATCATATTGCATAAAAGTACCAGAGGGATCGGCGTGATATCTTTGATTTAAATACAAGCAAGGAAACTGTCACCCGGATAATTGATATACATAACGATTTGGTTAATATATACTCACAATTGAGGACCCTTCTCGTCGACGCCGGCAATCAATAATGCGACGCCAAAAGGTCGACTCTTTAAGAATTTAAAATAATTTCGTACTTATGAATATCCCAAATCGGTTATGTAAATAATTAATTTCGTTAAAGCTTACCATTATAGATTCTTCTCCATGTGCACTCTCACCAAACCTCAGTGCCAAATCGCATACAGCTTGTGTGACCGACTCTACTTTAATCTTTTCATTATAGGTGAAATAATGATTCTTTTGCAAAGTGAAATCAATTATAAATTACTTCATATGTAAGAAATGTTAAAAGAAAATGTTAAATATATATATTTTATTTATCGAAAAATCTACTTGTGCCTCAACTCTAGCATGGTCTATCATTGTTCTGGAATCAGCTGTTAAACCACTCATCGCACAACCCAAATGAGTATCAATTTCCATGATCTTCTCAATACTACTTGATACTAAAAGCGGGGAAGTGACACGTTTTTCTACAGCCAGGACAACACCTTCAGAAGTCTGAATCCCTACCGCAGTGGAACCCAACTGTTTTTTGTACAAGAATTAACGAAAAGAGCAATAAAGAATTATATAAATCATTGAATATATACCTTAATAGCTTCGATCGCATATTCAACTTGAAATAGACGGCCTTCAGGGGAAAAGGTATTAACACCACGGTCATATTCAGATCTTGTGAGGAACATAATGATATAATAATTATAATAGGAAGAAATTGGATTGCGTACTAAACGAAACTAACATCAATTAATTAGATCAACCAATCGGATTCATTCATACATGTTACACCAGATGATTCTCAAAATTCTCAAAATTCTATAAAAAAAATACAGAAATAACTTTTTTTTTCCTGAATAAAAACCATGATAAAAGTAGTGCCTTTAGGTGCTGGACAAGATGTAGGACGTAGTTGTATTCTTGTATCCATAGGCGACGACAGTACAGGTATAAAAAACATTATGTTTGATTGTGGTATGCACATGGGATATAACGATGACAGAAGGTTTCCGGATTTTTCATATATTTCCAAGACTAAGCGATTCACCGAACAGTTAGATTGTGTAATAATTAGTCATTTTCATTTAGATCATTGCGGTAATTTACTTTTAAAATATTTTTTCTTTTATTGTAACTTTTATTGCAATCAAACAGGCTTATCTAAACTTTAATAATTCGATTTTTTTAGGAGCGCTTCCGTTTTTTACTGAAATGTGCGGATATGGGGGTCCTATATATATGACACATCCAACTAAGGCTATTTGTCCGATTCTGCTTGAAGATTATCGAAAGATCACAGTAGAAAGAAAAGGTGAAACCAATTTTTTCACATCGCAAATGATTAAAAATTGTATGAAGAAAGTCACTGCTGTCAACCTTCACCAGACTATCAAAGTTAATAATGATGATGATTTGGAAATTAAAGCGTACTATGCCGGTCACGTCCTAGGCGCAGCAATGTTTTACGTACGGGTTGGTACACAATCAGTTGTTTATACAGGAGATTACAACATGACACCAGATCGACATCTTGGTGCAGCATGGATAGACAAGGTTCAACCGGACCTTTTGATTACAGAATCTACATATGCTACAACCATTCGTGATTCTAAGAGATCACGTGAAAGAGATTTCTTAAAAAAAGTTCATGACTGCGTCTCACAAGGTGGCAAGGTTTTAATACCCGTCTTTGCTTTAGGCCGAGCTCAAGAGCTTTGTATATTAATAGAAACATATTGGGAGAGAAATAATCTTAACGTTCCCGTTTATTTCTCAGCCGGTATGACGGAGAAAGCAAATGATTATTATAAACTTTTTATTAATTGGACCAATGAAAAAATTAAAAATACATTTGTCAATCGTAACATGTTTGACTTTAAACATATAAAGCCTTGGGACAGACAATACGTAGACCTGCCTGGAGCAGCAGTATTATTTGCAACACCAGGGATGTTACATATTGGAACGTCTTTAGAAGTTTTCAAGAAATGGGCACCATTTCCTGAAAATATGGTTATAATGCCTGGATTTTGTGTTGCAGGTACCGTTGGAGCCAAAGTTCTTAATGGAGATAAAGAAATACAAGTTGATGCATATAATAAAGTTCAAGTTAACTTGCAAGTAAAGAATTTGTCATTTAGTGCACACGCAGATGCTAAAGGGATTATGCAATTAATAAAGCAATGCGCACCGAAAAATGTGATGCTTGTACACGGAGAAAAAGCGAAGATGGAATTTTTGCAAGATAAGATTAGACGTGAATGTCGAGTGCCATGTACTTGTCCAGCGAATGGAGAAACAATTACGATTGAAACGCCACTTTCTATACCAGTTGATATATCGATGGATTTACTTAAACGACATCTAAATGCGCAAAAATTTTCATTACCACTACCTGGAGAAAGAATTGATTTAACAAAGATCACACCTGTAGATGAAACACCTATTCAAGGAGTTCTGGTAATGGAACCTGATAGAATTCCACGCTTAATAGATGTTGAAGAAGCTATTCGCGAAGCACGATTACCCATTCTTAATATAGATTTTAAGATGTTTAAAACATTTGATCCAAATCAATTTAAAGACAAGAGTATTGCATCGAGTTTAGAAGGAACAGACATACGAGTTCAGGTATTAGAACATGTATATGAAGCTCTGAATAAGGCAATCAATAAGAATATACCAGGTATTGAATTGTGTAAAGAGGCATTAGAAATTAAGTTAAGAAGTGTTAAAGTGAGCGTACCAGAAATGATTAAAGATGAATTAAAAAATGCATTAGGTATTTCTTGGAATTCTAAAGATCAGAATTTAGCAGACTTTATAATCTCTATTATGGAGGATATCCTTCCTGACATGCCAGATTTATGACTTTGAAGTTAAATATGCAATATATTTGTTTTTATATTGTCGAATTGATTGTTTGTAATTATTTTTATAATTATATTCATAATTATATTCATAATTATGTTTGTAATTATGCTTGTAGTTATGTTACAAAATATGAAATAAAATATAAATATAGAAAAATTGAACGACAAAATTATAATTAATCTTTATGTACGATTATGGAAGGCAAGAATTTCTATTCATAATCGGAATTTTATTTAATTATATTAAATATTTACCAATTTAAATATGTAACGCTATTTATATTCTTAAAAAAGCGGTTAAGATATGTAACGCAAATTTTCTCATGAGTCAATCATACGACACAATTGGTATACTTTTTAGCATAAAATTCGCGTTTTTGTTAATATGTGATTATGTATCACTTTAACATATGTACAATGATATAGGATACATATTTACGTACGACATTTATTTATAGTATGCAAATTCAAATTGTCACCAGAACAGATTTCCACAGAAGGATAATCTTTTACAAGCACAGGATTCCTATCGTCGGTCATCGCATATGCACCATCGAGTAAATACAGCAATGTCACTTTCCTCCACAAAACTCACTGACCATTTGTGCGTTTGTTTTTGCAAATACATCTATAATTGGGTTTTTGGCAAATAATTCTTTGATCCTGGGAAGAATCGTTATTTATTTGTTTATTTATTTGTTAGTTATATATTGTTATTAAGGTGAGAATGACTCATTCATTATTCACGTTATTGGACCTTTTAGTTTGATAATCAAAATTATAAATTCTAGCAATCCTTTCTTGATACGGTCCTTTTTTCGACCGAAACGAATTTTCATGGGAATCTTCTCGCGTCGTGATTCAAAATTGTATCATTTTCACACAAAGATAAGTAATCCTATCTGATTTTCGCGATTATTATCTAATGATGGTTCTTACAAACATAAACTTTCTTTTCTTTTTAGAATTTCGTCTTTTTCTTTCTTCTACCGTTACTACTTATCGGTATTGGGGTTATTGAGGTACTGGGCTGTGCATAACTATTAGTCTAATATCTCGGTTGTACAAGCAATCTTATGAATACATACTATGCGTACAATTTTACAATGACAATAAAACCCATTGTAAACAATATAAATAAGTGAAACTTACTTCGTATCATCATCTGTGTCATATCTTTACTTAATTTTCATAAAGAATCTCAAATTAGGTGAGTTAAATTCCATACATATCTCGTATATATATATATATATATATATAAAATATATATTATTATTATTATGGCGCGTGGATGGGCCGGTATAACGCAATGTGTATAAATTTAAGAATGCCGTTGTAAATAAATTATAGATTACTCTTTTTATGTAGTGCGCCTTTTTGCCTTACTTTTTTTGTTTTTCCCATTTTCCTTTGGGCTTTGTTGATTGGTCACGAAGTTGTTGATAGATTTTATAAATAGGAGACCTTAACCTTCTCTTGGTTCAGTTTGGTTTCTCTCCAATCAAATTTGCGCCTTTGATTCTTGGGGGACCAAAGCAAAAAAAAAGCTCACACACCAAGTTATTGCCCTCTTTATTGTTGTGTGCCGCTTCTCACCTTGTCCTAACCCGCCAACCCTCAAAACACACCGCATTGTAAAAACAAAAAAAAACAAAAAAAATTAACAAAAAAATAAACAAGAAAGTTTCTTCCCTTTTTTCTTCACAAAAAAAAAGCTCCTCGCCAAACTCGAGTTTTTCTTACTTTTTGGTTTAGTTTGACTTATTTCGGATTCCATACTTTCGTCGGTACTTTTCTTTTCCATTTTTCTTTAATTATTTGAATTTACTGCTCGATCTCTTTGGTCCCATATATCACCTGCTATCTTACTATCATGTTGGATTTTCAGAAAAATTTATAGTAAGATGATAGAATCAAAGGTTATCAAAGTCGATATAATCGATATAAAGATATCATTTGATATATGTGACTTGAATTTTATATCCTTATGTCACTATTGATTTTTCCTTTGGTAGTGACGCGTACCTTCCGAATTATAGCTTATTATATACACGTATAATAAAGTATATATACCAGCATACTAATCTCTTTTCTTTTAATTTCGGTATTATTTCTTTAAACACTGTGCGTGCGTGCAAAATCCTTTAGTTTTATTCGATCAAGCAACGACGGTTTAAAAAGCACTTGTTTAAAACAGAGTAAAGCGTCCCTTCACTCCTTTGGTTGACACTTTCTGTGAGCAATTAAACTAAGTTTGCGGACTCTAGCGTGCTACGGCTAAAAAAAAACACAACGGAACATCGGTTTTTTCTTTCTTTCTCACATAGCGCAAGCCTGGTTACCAACTTCATTCTCAAAAAGTTCCCTGGTTCGGCGCTAATTTATTATTATTATATTTTTTTTAGTTAAGAACCCTTGTTTGTGTTTAAACGTCTATTTTTTTTTTTTTTTGCTTATAGCAGACACATAATGTTCTAAATTTATTCCGCATTCCGAACAATATCATAGTTGCTCTGTTTAGCAGTTCAACAAAAAATCGAGTGCTACGCTTTTTTAGTTATGCAAGCAATCCCACTCTTTTTTCCAACCAAATTTGACTAATATCGGTATCGTGCGTAAAACAATTCTTTCAAATCACGATTCCTTTTATTTTTCTGTTTTTTTTTCTTGCTGTTTGCATTACCAACTGCCTTATATTGTATCATCTACCTTTCTTCTTCTACCTTTTAAGAGACTCGTTGCGTCTTCAATTTGTAATATAGCCTTTATACATATATATATATATTCTTTCCCTTATTTTATTATTATTATCATCC